TGGATACCTTTTCGAGGGAAGGATTGTTTTTATATAACAATTTCAAGGCATAGTTGTATATTGTTTTTGCAATCATTTTAAGGCATAGCTTTCATTTGTTCGGATAATATTTTTAAGGCATAGTTGACAATAGTAGCGATTTCTGATTCCAGTTCCGTTTCCACGGTATTTTCAAGAGTAAGTGTGACTTGTAGAGCCGGCTCAATGAAAAAAGTAGAGAGTAAAATACTAAAAATAAGAAAGTGACAACTTCTAATATAAAACGGGGAAAGAAAAGATGGTTTCTTTTATTCTATTAATGTGGTGGTGTTTGTCTATTTGAGCTGTGATTATCAGGAAAGAACTCTTCAATTCCAGTACATTCAGAACTACTGCTCTCGTTTGCGTGTACCGTTTGCGATTGTTGGCGATTTTAACTCGATCCTGGCATCAAGTGAAAAGGAAGGTGGTAACCCATGGCGCCCTTCTCACTCACTCAATTTTCGTGAATTTGTGGATGATTTGGGACTCCAGGATTTGGGTTTTATCGGTTCTCCTTACACTTGGTCAAATAGGAGAAGTAATCCGCAACGGGTGGTACAAGAGCGACTGGATCGAGCCTTGGTTTCGAGTGGTTGGTTGGATCAGTTACCTAATTCGGCATTGCATCATCTTTCTGATCAGGAATCGGATCATAGAGCCCTCTTACTAGCCACAGAACAACTCCAACGTCGTGGGAAACAGCTGTTCCGGTTTGATCAACGGTGGGGTAATAATCCTGAAGTGAGGGAAATCGTCCAGGAGGTGTGGAATCTGACGTTCGAGGGTACACCTATGTTCCGATTATGGTGTAAACTTAAAAAGTTAAGACATAGGCTGTATGATTGGAACAAATTAGGGAAAACTAATTCCGAGCGAAAGATTCGCAGCCTTCAACGTGAGTGGGAGACTGTTCGAGGGGCTGCTGTTGTGGATTGGGAAAAACTTCGTGCTCTAGACAAACAATTGAGGGAAGCTTGGATTGATGAAGAGATCTACTGGCGCCAGAAGTCAAGGGTGTCATGGTTAAAGGAGGGTGACCAGAATTCATCTTATTTCCATAATGTCACCAGAACGCGTCGTCGCCATAACCGTATACAGGGTATTTATGACCCTGCGGGTACCTGGGTCACAGCGGAGGATGACATGGCGCACGTGGCATGTGATTTCTATGGCGATCTCTTTACCTCGAGCGGTTTGGATCCCCAGGTGATCCAGGAGAAAGTAGCTGCGTTACCCATTGAAAGAAAAGTGACGGATCGTATGAACGCCAAACTAACTGCTGCAGTGTCCCCTGAGGAAATCCGACGTAGTGTCTTTCAGATAGGTGCTACGCAAGCCCCGGGATCGGATGGGTTTACTGGTGTATTCTTTCGACAGTTTTGGGACATTGTGGGACAGGACGTAATAGAGGCTGTCGCTCACTTTTTTGCTACGAGCTCTCTCCTTAAGAATTGTAATCATACTTGGCTTGTTCTTATTCCAAAGGTTGACAGAGTTGAACATATGCGGAACCTACGTCCTATTAGTCTTTGTCAATTTTCCTACAAAGTCATAGCCAAAATTTTGGCGGAACGGCTGGCCCGCTACTTACCGTCTATTGTGTCCCCGGGGCAGAATGGTTTTGTTCGTGGTAGGCAGATTGTGGATAATGTCTTGATTGGACACGAGGTTATGCAGTACCTGAAGAATAAGAGGGTTGGTAAACAGAAATTCATGGCTTTTAAGGTTGATATGGAGAAGGCATATGATCGGGTGGAATGGCCATTTTTATTCGCATTGCTTGAGAAACTTGGTTTCAGTGCGCAATGGATCAAATGGCTACGGGCGTGTGTGTCTTCTCCGACGTTTTCTGTATTGATGAATGGAAAGCCTTCAGGGTATTTTAGTGCGACGAGAGGTCTTCGGCAGGGTGATCCCTTATCTCCGCTACTGTTTGCTATCTGCACTGAGGGTTTCGCTGCTTTGCTTCAGCAGGCGATCTCGAATCGTGTTTTGACTGGTCTTCGGATTAGCCCCCGGTGCCCTGTTGTCTCGCATTTATTCTTCGCGGATGACTCGTATTTGTTCCTACGAGCTTCACGATCTGAATGTGCGCACCTTGTTGGGGTTCTGAAGCAGTATGAGGAGCTTAGTGGGCAAAAAGTCAATCTTTCTAAGTCAGCGGTTTGTTTTAGCAGAAATACTGTAGCAGCGGATAGAGAAGAGATGGGGCGTATGCTTGGAGTGGGAGCCATTGGTGTTACAGATCAGTATTTGGGTTTGCCATCCCTGGTGGGACGCTCTAAATATGATACCTTTAGGTATATTGAGGAGCGAGTTATTCAACGCCTACAGGGGTGGAAGCAGCGATGCTTATCTTGGGCTGCTAAGGAAGTCCTTATTAAGTCTGTTGCTAATGCTTTGCCTATCTATGTAATGTCTTGCTTTCTTCTACCTCTATCACTGTGTCGTTTGCTGGATAGACATTTGGCTAGATTTTGGTGGGGAGTGAAACAGGGTGAGCGGCGGATTCATTGGGTTTCTTGGAAATCGTTGTGCTTAAGTAAACATGAAGGAGGTTTGGGTTTTAGGCGTTTTGAGGAGTTTAATCAGGCTCTGTTGGCAAAGGTGGCGTGGCGAATTTGGAAGGAGCCTAATTCTCTGTTAGCTCGGGTGTTTAAGGGTAAGTACTTTCCCAACTCCTCTATTCTGGTGGCCAAGGCTGGATCTTTACCTTCTTGGGGCTGGCGGGGGGTGTTGCATGGACGTGATTTGCTGGTCCAAGGTTTGCGATGGCAAGTTGGCTCGGGTGAGTCGATAGATGTGCTAAAGGACAATTGGGTGCCAGCGTTGCATCCATCTCCCCCGACGCCTCGTCCGGGGATCATTAGGGTCGAGGGGTCAGTTGCGTCTTTAATTTGCCCGAATCAAGGGGTTTGGAGGGTGGATTGCCTACGTCAGATCTTTGAGGAGGATACTGTCCGAGCTATTCTGGCTATTCCGTTGCCTATTTCGCCGGTGCCTGATCGTATGGTTTGGAATGGGGAGCAATCAGGTCGCTATACGGTCAAGTCTGGCTATCATTTAGCAGTGGAGCTACGGAGGTATAAGGAGCTAAGGGTGAAGGCGAAAGTTCAGGTGTGGGATCGTGGTCTATGGAAAAGGGTTTGGGGGGCTCCCATACCTCCCAAGTTGCGGTATTTCGTATGGCAGATGGTTCGCGGTGTCTTGCCAACTGGTGAGGCACTGAGTACTCGGGGGGTAGGGGGGCTGGAGCCATGTCCAGTCTGCGGGGAGGAGGGGGAATCTCTTGAACATCTCTTCTTCCGTTGCCGAGTAGCGGTGGAATTGTGGGAAGGGGCGGGGCTGCTGGCCATTCGCGATCGCTTTCCCCTTTGCAATGTTGGGATCTTTTGGCGCAGGTTACTCGAGTGGCGGGAGCTTGATCAGGGGGCCATGATGCATGTTGTAGCACTTTTCTGGCGCATATGGAAGGCCCGTAACTGGGTGGTCTTTGAGTTGACTCAGTACATTGTGCCGGTCTTGTTATCTCAATTTCGTTTGCAGGTTGCAGAGTGGGATGGCATTACTACCGGCCAAGGTGCTTGTCGTTACTCAGGGGGCTCAGGTATCAGAGGCCGTCAGGATGTTCCGTTGGGTGAGTTCGTCATGTTCGTGGATGGAGCTACGGCGCCTGGTTCACATGGAGCGGGAGGTTGGGCTCTTCAGGATCCCACAGGCATGGTGGTGGCAGCATCGGCAGCACTGTATGTGGGGATTTGGGAGCCGGCTCTTGTGGAGCTACTGGCCTTCCGGGATGCGCTTCGATGGTGCTTGGCGTTTGGTTTCCAATCGATGATTTTTGCAGGTGACGCCCAAGTGATCGTGGGGAAGATCCGGGAGGGTGAGGTAGATGATGTCCATGGAGGGATGCTGTTGGAGGAGATTCGAAGTATGCGTGACTTGTTCCAGGAGTTTCGGGTTATTTTTGTGGGTCGGGAGTCTAATAGGGTTGCCCATTTGGTGGCAAGAAAAGCCCTTTCGTTGTCCCCTTCTTTGGTGGGGTTCAATTTTGTTTCTTGGCTGTTTTCAGCTATGTGACTATTTTGTATCTGTCTGTTTTCTCGGTAATACGAGCGATCTTTTGGCAAAAAAAAAAGACTCATGAGAGAGAGAACAAGATATATATATATATATATATATATATATATATATATATGTACATGTTTTGAAAAAGTCAAAACCGAGAATAGTTGGCTAATTTTGATTCATTTATAATTTTTCAATTTGAATTATTGCCAAACAATTTAAATTGACTCAAAATGAATGGAATTAAATAAGTCTAAACTAAATTAATGGCAAACAAATCAATTTGACCAAATTATCTCATAATAAAATATCTCGATATAATTGATCGTTTACAATGGTCCTTCAGTATTTTACATGCCCCATTCTAGAAAGCCTTAGTTTTTTACGCTCATGAGTTTTTACTTTTAGTATGCTTTTGTTAGCTAGTAGCGGATACGGCAAAAAGATGCTGTGTGGTAATAGCTCTGTGTTTTAGACCTGTTTAAATCAACCAGACTCATAATTAAAATTTGTAGAATATTGATAAGTATTTAATTGATGATTAATTTGTTTTATGAGCTGTAAGTATATAATTACCATATTCTTTCGCGGTCCACGGTAATAATCATCCATCCATATGAGCGATAAATATATTAAATTATTGACCACATGAAACTCAAATGCGAAAGAATAGACTATCTTGAGATCGATGTTCCCATCTCCTTTCTCAGAAAGTGAAAATTAAGTAAAAAAAAAAAAAAAGTGTAAATAATTAAACAGCACGCCAGTGATCTCGAGTCTCGACCATTGTGGCCAGAGACATTGTCCATGTGCAAGTGATTAACGCTATATATGTCCCCTCCCCATTCCTAGTATTATCCTCCACAGCTAACAGTAACAACCACATTGCTTTTTGCCAAAGCAACTTGGCTATGGCTTCCCTCACCTCACTAATCTCCTCTCCACCGTCCTCCACCAACAACATATTCCCCAAAAGAACCTCCCAACTCTCCGCTCCCATTGGCCGCCTCCAAACCCTCCGCAAATCCCAACTCGCAGTCACCTGCAAATCATCCAACGGCAGGTCGGACCCGTTCGACGAAGTCCTCGCCGCCGCCGCCGCCGCCTCGAGGAGAGATGTCCTCCTGGGCCTCGGAGCGGGTCTCTACGGAGCCGGGGCTTTCGTTACCGACCCGTTCTCCGCCGCCTTCGCCCGGCCCATCGACGGGCCCAGCCAGGACGTGTGCAAGCTAGCCACTCCATCCCCAGGCAACCCCCTCCAGATCGAGTGCTGCCCGCCCGCCATGGCGGGCCGGGAGTCCAAGCCCTTCCAGTTCCCTTCCCCCTCCGAGCCCAAGCGGATCCGGCGCCCGGCCCACCTGGCCAGCCAGGACAAGGAGTACGTGGAGAAGTACAAGCTGGCCATGAAGCGGATGAAGTGCCTCCCACCAGAGGACCCACGCAGCTTCTTCCAGCAAGCTAAGGTACACTGCGCTTACTGCAACGGATCCTACGTCCAGTCCTCCCACACCAACCTCGGCCTCCAGATCCACTTCTCCTGGCTCTTCCTCCCCTTCCACCGCATGTACCTCCACTTCTACGAGCGCATCCTCGGCAGCTTGATCCAGGACCCGACATTCGCGCTCCCGTTCTGGAACTGGGACCACGAGGACGGCATGGCCATCGCCGAGATGTTCAAGGACCCCGAGTCGCCTCTCTTCGACGGCCTCCGCAATGTCCACCACTTACCTTCCAACAAGCCGCTCGACCTCCGCTGGGACAGAGTGACAGAGGACAAGCCGTTCGAGCGGATCAGGGACGACAACTACGCTCGCGTCTACGAGCTCATGGTTTCGGGGGCCCAGAGGCGGCTCGAGTTCTTCGGGCCCAAGTACCGAGCTGGGGACCCGCCGCCTGCGGGCGGCGGCGGGACGTCCGAGCGGCTCCACAACATGGCCCATCTGTGGACAGGTGGCCACAACCAGCAGTTCGGGGAGGACATGGGCAACTTCTACTCCGCGGGGAGGGACCCGATCTTCTACGTCCACCACTGCAACGTTGACCGGCTGTGGAACGTGTGGAAGACCATCGGGGGATTCAGGTTTGACTTTGACGACTACGACTACCTCAACACCTCGTTCCTGTTCTACGACGAGAACAGCGACCTGATCAAGATCAAGGTGAAGGACGTGCTGGACCCTCAGGCACTCGGGCTGGAGTACGAGGACAGGCCCATCCCGTGGAGGAACTCCAGGCCCGTCCCCACAGCGGCGAATGCGGCCAGGACGGCCACTGCAGCTGCCTTTGGCGGGCCGGCAGAGGCCCAGGCTGCAGTGGGTCCGAGGTACGTTGACCCGTCGAAAATAACCTCGCCGTCCGCGTTCCCGTTGGTGCTGGAGAAGGTGACCACCGTCATGGTGCCGAGGCCGAAGAAGGGGAGGACCGCCAAGGAGAAGTCCGCCGCCAGCGAGATCCTGGTCGTGGAAGGGATCGAGCTGGAAGGGGACAAGGTGGTGCAGTTCGAGGTGGTGATCAACGACGACCCCGACAACCCGAGTGGGCCCTCCAACTCCGAGTTCGCCGGGAGCTTCCTCAACATTCCGCACGTGCACGGGAACAACGGTCACAACAAGTTCGTCACCGGGCTGAGGATGGACATCACGGAGCTGCTCGAGGACATCGGCGCCGAGAACGATGACCAGATACAGGTGACTTTGGTACCTAAGAAGTCCGATGGGCCCGTCACCATTGGTGGGCTCAAAATCGAGTATTCCTCCTAGGCAGAGAGAGAATATTCCCTTCCCGTATGCGACGACCTGACTGTTCCCCGGACCGGCGTTTTTGCTCCGGCAGTACTACTACCGTGGGCTTGTTCTCTTGTATTTCCTCTACCATTGAATAAGTAACCCAGACCTCCCTCTCCTGCCAACTTGATTAGCTCGTTGTGGGAAGTTTCGGTGGGAAGTTATTGCACTTGTTATTACGTCACCTTTTCTGCATTTCTATGAGATTTATGTTTGGGCCATCTTTACCTGTGCCTTAAAAGCTTTTGGCTTCGTATGTTTCTTTTTTTCTAGATGAATTTTAATTTGCATTCCCATTTCGTTGAACAGCTTACATATTTGCGCATCTTGTTCTTTACCGTTTCAACGCCGCGTGAGTGAATGATAGGAGATAAATACCAGCCAGACAAAGAGACTAATACAATGCTGTCAACAAGATTTTGGCCGTTAGTTCGGTAAGTGTGTTAAGGAATAATGGTCGATTCGATTTAGTTGATTTGGTCCAGATATATAGAAATAATTTTGCCGATTCCCACAATAGGCTACACAACTAACAACAGATTGTTGAGTTTAATCTCTTCCTGATACCATCTTCTAAATCTAAGTATAGAAAACATGATATGTTGGAGCAAATTAGTAACTTTTACCAAAAGAAACGAATAATCCAAGTTCTGTTCACATTGAAACTAGACTACAACAAAATTAATCTCAAGCTCAGAAGTCAAAACATTTTGTTGCTTTCAAGTTGAACGTGCGTGATGAGTATTGTGTTGACTGTTGTGGACATAAGGTTACAAAGCCCAAGGACGCTTCACCTGTGCCTGCTAATTAAGTCTTCTTCTTAAGTTTCCAGAATGCAACCCACGTCGCATGCAGTTTATGTAGCTAATCCAACGTGATTAAGGAAAATTGTAATGCAAGCTTAATCCATATGTATGTAAGGCCTATGGTCGAATTACTTAATAAAATTATTTTTCCGTGGATATAAGTCTCATAAAGTGTGAGGATGATCCACATTAAACCGAACTTTGATACCCACTTAAAAAGACGGTAGTTATGACATATTTCCTGTTGGTAATGTAACACCTTAAAATGATGTTGTGACAAATCTATTGAGGATGTTGAGTGCATCGGCGGATCTAGAACACAGAAGTGCACTGGGCCGCATTTTATTAGAAAATTAGAATAGTAAAAAAAAAATATAATGATTATAATTTTTTTACAATGTAAATTGTACATGACGGTATTTTAATTTAGCGAATGCATTAATAATGGAGTCCACATCCATACCAATAGTATACACTGTTTCAAATAAAATACTTGAGCAATCGACTAGAAATCCATCGCTCATTTTGTTGAGCAAATCAATTTTCACATGTTTCATTGTTGAAAAGGTTCTATTCGTATTAGTTGTTGAAACAAGCAGCATCAACACTAGACAAATCAATCTCCTAATTAATTTGCATTGTGTTTCCATCCCTATATCCACCAGCTGCTCTAGTAAATTTTCCAAGGTAACAAACCTCATATATGTTTTAGTCTTTTACGTTTTAAACTTTTTGAATTTTTAGGTTTCATTGTTTTTTTAGACGAATAACCTTTGGGGTTAGAATTTATAAGCTAAATTTAGAGTAGTGATTTTGAATATGTTCATTTGAATTATTTTTCTAATTATACCCAATCTTATTTTAAAATAACAACGACCCGAATATGTAAAATCGAAAAATTCATAAAGCCTATACTAACTATGGATCCAGAGGAGGGCTGGGCCGGGGCCTGGGGTGGCCACCCCTGGATCCGCCACTGGTTGAGTGCCAAAGATGGTGGGGTAATGTAACATATTAGACAAATCTCATATAGACAAAAACACAAAAGAACTTCGTGTTTCATAAGGAACAATAAGTGATGTTTTGGGGAGAAATGAAAAATTTGTATAATAAATCAAAAGTTAAACATGACCAAAGTGGAGAAGTGCAAAGTTTGGTGACCATTCGAAAAATCGTCATGATACACTAAAAAATAAACCTGTGTGGGAGTAGGACCATAGCGATAATATTTTGATCAGAAAATTGTTGTGTTTTACAAAAAATCCAAAAAGAATCTTGATAAAACGTAGTAATCTATCAATTATGCCTTAATATTATTGTAAAAACAAAATACAATCATGCCTTGAAATAGTTTTTTCTATAAGCAATCCTTTTCTCGAAAAGATATGCACGTATGACATTTATTGTTGATCAGGGCCACTAGCTATAAACAATTACTTTCGCTCGAAACAATTTGCATTTATTTAAATAAATCTAATACCCACAAAGCTTGAATCACGGGGTAACCGTCTATATCCAGGATAGTCCACCTTGCATTGAAGGCTGAAGTAGATCTGAAGTTTTGGTATTTATTTCCTTCTTTCTATCGCGTTCCATAGTGGGTTTATTATATATTTCAAAGGAGTTGGATTAAATATTCATGGGGGAAAAATTCCTACGTAAGTTGTCGGTTGGTGAAACTGTTTGTCGTCATTGACTGTGTTAATCACGTGAAATAGGGTCCAGATCTAGTCGGTAAACACGTTGGCTACTGATTACGTTTAATTTTTTCTTATTATATTTATTAAGCAATATTTTTTTTGCCCCTTGATCAAATCGATCAAGCATCCTGAAAAAACAAAGACAAATGTCTACAAAGTAAATACATCAGCTCACTTCTAACAAACATCTAAAAACATCAACTCTTTGCAACTCTATATAAAACTCAGGATTGCCAACTGCATAAAGCTGGATATCCCACTTCAGTTGCAAGAACAAGTCTTGCCATGGGGATAAGGGGTCTCCTTGGTGTACCCCTTTCTTAGGTGGGAAGTAACCAAATAGAGAACCATGGATACTAATGCTAAAGAAGGCAGACTGTAAGCAAACCCTAACCCACTTCAGAAAATTGTCAAGGAAATTCATCAATTTCATTACCAAAAACAAATACTGCCAATCCACCGAATCAAAGGCCTTAAGTAGATCAATTTTAATAGCACATCTGGAAGCAACATTTCTCTGATCGTACTTCTGAACCATCTCCTGAGCCATAAGTATGTTCTCAAGAATACTACGTCCTTTGATAAAAGCATATTGGTATATATTATTATTGAAAATCAGATTAATCAAACTTTCTGATTTCGGAAATTTTGTTTTTATGTTATATATTATGACTCATTGCTCTATAATATGAATATATCATATTGTACAATGATTGTATATATCAACTTATCAAGGATTAACATACTGTACCAGAGGATGTACCCGAAATATTTGTTGGATGGTAATCTGTGTTACGATCGTGGTTCATCCAATTCATACAGGTAAAATACTGTTTTTAATAAAAAATAATATTTTGTGAAAACAACATAACAGCAAAAATAGTCTACCATACCAAAGTAATACCTACATTGTACCGCAATCATACATGATAACAAATAGACAAATAATTAATTAAGAAGTCTTCAAATAATAAACTAATCAACAACAAAGTATCAAAGTACATAATTAACTAGGGGTGGCTATACGGTCCGGTCCGATTAAATTGGCCCAAATTGATCCGGTCCAGTCCGGTCTTTTTGAAAATATAAGGACCGAAGATTGGATTGGATACAGTCCGGTCTTGATCCGGTCCGGTTTTGATCCGGTCCGGTCCCGATTCGATCTTGATTTTACATTGAGATTGTGGGATTTGAGTGGCCTAAAGCCTTAAACGGTGAGCAGTTGGTTAAGTTTTGTACTAAGTGCAAAGGTTTGTGACCGTTTATGCAAATTACCCTTAAGTTTTGGGTGTTGAGCTCTCTTATCCGGTCTTTATCCGGTTTTTTACCTCAAATCTAAGCCCAAAGATTGGATTGGATTGTTTACTATCCGGTCCCAGTCCGGTCTCGGTCCGGGTTATACGGTCCGGTTTCCGGTTTTTAATCCGGTCCCGGTCCAAATAGCCACCCCTATAATTAACCACATCATCCAATTGCATTGTTAAAAAGAACTCCGCAACTACCAAACAAAGTTAACATATGAAAATTGAATAGTTCATAACTACCAAACTAGAAACCACAACTTGAGAAATTCACATTGTCCTCCTTGCCGGCTTCATCTTCTTCGTCATTTGATGCACCAACTACAATACGAAATCAAAAAGTAAGAATCTTTATAGATTATTACATACCTATAAAAAATAACTAAATTCACATTTCACACACAAACCTTGCTCTTCTAGTGTTCGATCTAGCTCATCAGCATCCAATTCCATTTCTATAGAAGGTGAATCTTGATCTTTTAATAAGACTAGTAGATTCAATGCTTTCGGTACTTATGGGATCATAGGAATATATGTTCTTCTTGCTATAATACTCCCTAATGAAGGTACAACATAAAAAGATTCAACCAAAAATAAGTAACAAAAGTAAAAGACAATACAATATTTAAACAACTCAACTTACACATAATTTGCATAACATATCAAATCATACATATTCTGCAATCGCAAGATGTAATTGACAAAGACCAAGTCACTAAGCATTTTATGCATCAATTTGTTCCTTCTCTTGGCGTGCACACGTTCAAAAACACTCCAGTTACATTCAGAACCAGAAGCTGCAACAGTTTGGCTAAGGAGTCGAATAGCCAACTTCTGGAGATTTGGAGTATCAATACCAAACCACTTCCACCACTTATCTACAAATTAAACATGCATGTTAGTTTCTTAAATTTTGGAATGAATTGAGCAATGTAAGTAATATCAATTACCGATTTGTTGTTTTTTTGTGCAGACTCAATTGCAAGCTTCCTCCCAAAGCCCCTAAACGATCAACATATGGATTCATCTCCTTCACTACCACAATTGTATCGAGGCATAATGTCGAATTCTCAAGGAGATCAAGAATTCCATTTCTAACCATTCTTGAATAAGCAAAATCAATAGAATACTTGAATACAAGGTTAAGAAAGTATGCTGCCAAAAACAAC